GCGGGGGGGTGGTGTTGAAAAGGGAGTACAGTTGATGATGCATCCTGTTAAGCTGAGGCTGAATGGTAAAGCGGTCTAATAATTATTCATGGATACAGTCTTCTAACCAACCTGCAGGCAGCCGCCAGCTTTTCCTCTGACCTGCTCCTTTCATCGGTGCAAGGGCACCATTTGTATTCCCTATGAAGTGGGGCTTACAGTGTGCAGCCTGACAGTGTTAGTACAGAGACGTGGAACAGAACAGCATGAATATTAATATAAACCCCTCAGTCGTGTGGGACTGTCACTGTGGAACAGGGCGCCTGCAAAAAGGGTGGGTCAAACAGAGGAGTCCGACCCCTGCAGGAGACACAGGGTTATCTCTGATGTCACACTAAAATAGGACTTTAACACCGAGGACGCCAACTAGGTGTTTACTGTGGTACTACACTCCCTGGGGTTGACCATGCTATTGGACAACGTCTGTGTAATTCTATAGTGTTGTTGTTGTTGTTACATTGTATTGATGCTGTTGCATTTAAACCATAATGTGAACAACTGTGCAAAGAATATGGAATTTCAGTGAAAAAAAATTGGTGTTGAGCAACACCTGCAAACTGAACAGAGCCTAAAACTTGATGGAACTATTTCTTGACATGACTTGTTGTTTAGAATATACTGGGATATTCCAAGAAATATTTAGTTTTATCAAAAAATAATTGCACAAACAACACATTTTTTTAAATATTTATTTTCCTGGAAATAAATACATGGATTTGCTTGAGTTTTCTGATGGTTTCACCAAAAATCTGTCAAGAGTGGATTAAAAAAATAAAGTACCAGACAAACAAATTAAAAGAAGAAAGTTTTCCTCTTCTTCTACTACTCTTATGGAAAAGTCCTATGCTGCCCCCACTTGGGCTTGTGCAGCATGACTCCACAATTAAAAAAAAAAAAAGTATATATAAAGAATTGCATTTATCACAGCTACCTTTAAACATAAAGTACTGAGAAATAACTCCCCCCCCTTTAATCTTTTATTACAACATTAATGCTTTTCTTTATTTGAGTGTGTCGGTAACTGAGTACAACGTTGAGAATAAAGGTGTTTTGTCATTATCTGTAGAAGACATTCTGGACGAGGTGTCAGGGTTGACGGTGGAGAGCATGGATGAAGGTGTGGACGGTCAAGGTCGGCCAAATCTGCAAAGCCCGGAGGACCAGGAGGACAGATCCCTCTCCGGGCCTGGACAGAAGGTAGGACGCTGGGCCGTTCAAAGGTTTGGGTGTCGAACACACGTCACCTCACGTGTATTGTGTCCGTGGCAGACGAAAAGCGTCAGTTGTGGTTTTTGTCTTTGTGTTGATAACCTGCCTTGTCATGTTGATGTCTTTGATCCGGCTGAATTGTCTTTGTCCTTTATCTTCAGTGGAAATGTGGTTGACTCTTGATCTGAGATCTGTCAGAATGTTGACGGTGACATATGAGAAACTTTGTGTTTGGTCTGGGACCTTTACTCTACTGTTTAGAATGACTGAGAGACATTTTGAACTATGGTTGAATTTAAATGAGAATTTCTGACCAGGCTAATGACACTTGTACAATTGCTGTCTTCAGGACAGAATATTAAACGAACACAATTCATGTTCTACTCACATAACGTCCTGCGTCAACACAAACGCACCGTCAGGTTTAACTCCTCGTGACGGGAAGTTTCTAATTTCTGTATCTTCCCATTCGTCAGGTGTAACTCCTCGTGACGGTAAGTTTCTAATTTCTGTATCTTCCCATTGAACAGACACATTGTTGATCTCTTATACAAACAACAAGCAGTGACGGGGTGTCACATGTGAATACTGAACTGCCGTGTGTTTAGCGTGTGTGCGTACAGAGTGCCGAGATGACAGATCTGTGCTGGAGCTTCTGAGCGTCATCATTTTTCTAATTAAGATCACGTCGGGTCTGATCACGGTCGGCGCAGTGATGGCCGGGACCCACCGCGTGCCGCTCAGTCTCCCCCTGGTCACGGTTGTCACTTCCATTACAACAGCAAACTCTGACACCCAGTAACCAGCGGAGACATTTTTGTTTGTTTATGTTCAGGGGTTTAGAGTCAGAGGAGGAGAGAGAGAGAGAGAGAGAGAGAACGTATGTGTGTTTTCTCACCGACTGTGAGTCAGTCAGAGTCCAGACCAGAGACCAGTCTGGTCTGGACTCCATCCTGTTGGACAAAGGCTGGTTCTGTGACTGCACTGTGTCATTATCTGTCTGAGGCAAAGCAAGGGATGATGGGATATAGCATGAAGTAATACTGGTCTGATAAATGGACATAGATGAGCAGCTGTTGGCATATGTATGTGTATATATATGTGTGTATATATGTATTCTAATTTACCTCCAACCCTGTGATTTAGAACAACTGAAATCACAATTTAAATTTGAAATACTTTACTACGTGATGAATGAATCGTCGTATACTTGGATAAATACTTCATATAAGCGTACAGGATGTAGGATAGTGACCTCATTCATAACAGCTTCCTGTTCCTTCTCCTTATCTGACTTTTGTTTTGATTCTCCTTCACTTGCACTTCCCTCCTCCTCCTCCTCCTCCTCCTCCTCCTCCTCTCTCTGACTCACCCCCTGCTGTTCATTACCAAAAACAACTCAAACCGCCCTCGGCTTCAGTGTGACAGCCGGCCCTGACCACACTCTGAGGTACATGAAGAAAAAAAATACCCAATCTTGACACCAGGTGGAATCTCGTGTGTGTGTTTTTTTAAATACCCTTGTCTCATATTTATTTGCCCTTTTGTTTCTCCTCCTCCAACGTCACGCCTCACCCCGTTTCACCGTCACGCCTGCAGTCACGTGGAGGCGAGACAGAGAAAGAGTCGATTTAGGACATTTTTAATTATCCCCACTTTCTAATTACTTCCTTCACCCGTGTTTCACATCATTTAGTGGAGATAAATGGCTGTCTGACTAGCCTGAGGTAAAACAGGAGCTTCATTATTGTAGACAAAGCACACAAACCTCCTCCTCAGCACCACCAACCAATCAGGGAGTGGGATTGTCTGCGAAAACAGCGATAATAGAGATGATGGAGATGTTCTCCAACGTTCTCCGAGGTGTCGCCGGGCCTCACTCACAAGTGCTGCTTAGAACCTCCATGTAATGGCTGAGGGGCAATTCAAATGGAAATGCATAATTAGTGTGTGTGTGTGTGTGATTGGGACTCATTATAGTTCAGTTCCAATTAACTCCTGATTGTTTCATTTGTGTAAAATAACAGTTTAGACATAATGTCAGTAGAAACTGACTTTGAAAGAAGTGAAGTTTTTTTTTCTTAACATACTACATTTTTATTTTTATTTTATTTTACTTGTCTACTGTTGCTGATATTTGGAAAGACATCAGAGATCAGACATGCCCAAACTCAGGTCCGGGGTCCAACAGTAGAACCAAGTTGAAATTGTTGCGGTCCATGATTTTTCTCAGAATTTCCTTTTTTTTTTTTTTTTTTGCAAAATTGACTTGAACGTGAACTTGTTCTCTATGAAGAAATTATTTTTCAAATAGTTTGGAATTTTCTGACAGCACTAAAATATTTTTTCCAACGTCCAGTGCATTCTATCATCACTAAACGATTTTGGCTAACAATAATGTAACATGTCATATTTTATGACTGTGGACAGATTTTTGCTTTATTGAACTTAATTTGTTTAAAACATTTTTTTAACTGTGCGTCATTATATGCAGCATGTTGTACTTTTTAAATCAGTTCAATGTTGTGCAATAAATTTATACCAAGTATTAGAAGAGGAACATGGGGAAGAAAAACAAAGAATTGACAGCTTGGTCCCTGTTGTTGTAATTTTACCATCTCACCACTGGAGGGAAGAATATGACTTAGAACTACAGCAGGCAACCAAGCACAGGTGTTCAACAGTAAATCTACTGTAGATTCTACTGTCGTTTCAACCTTCATGGGTTCGGGGGATGTTTGACGTTACTGTTGCTAAGAAGAAAAAAAAAATCTAAATGTTGAACCACTTTTTCTTTTTTAAACCCATGGATCATCAAACCGTTTTCTTCAAAGTGGAATATCACTACAAAGAATAGTAACGTAATCGTCCTCCCTCTGAGATGAAATGACTGAGGTTTCCTGTCTCTCTAATAGGATTGATGGATTTGCACTTTTCCTTCCTTTCAGATGAAAGTGAACTCTAAGACCTCGTGGCTTCCTTTCATTCTCTTCCTGTTTCACTGATGGACAAGTTTAAGCCCGTTCGTCCTCAGAGGAAACGGTTGGACACAGACCAGGGAAACTGTTGCATTTGCATCGACATAAATGTATTTAAAATTCAAACCAAAAGTATAAAGATAAATATTTTTTAAATGATCTGTCTCTAAAGAGTCTAACAGGAGTCGTACGTTTGTGGTTCATGGTTGGTGGAGCAGGTCAGAGCTTGTCTCCAGGCTCCGCCCCTTTATGAAATATTTGTCCTTCTATAAATGAACAAATTGTATAGTTTTGGACGCACGCGAAAAAAGCTCAGGTTCATGCGTGGTATTTTATTTGATTTTACTCCAGTGACAGTTTTTTTTTGTCTGCTCTGACTTCATGTTTGTTTGTTTTTTTTTTTTTTATTTTACACCAGTGACAGTTTTTTTGTCTGCTCTGACTTCATGGTTGTTGTTTTTTTTTTTTTTATTCCAGCCACAGTTTGGTCTGTGGATTTTCTTTCTTTTTTTTTTTTAATCTCACGTAAAAATGTTTCCTTCAATGGATTCGAAAGGGAAACAACCACAGTATGAGAACTTGAAAATCCAGGTGTGTCTAGATTTACTACAAACCTCAGCAGCAGAACACTTTCTAAATAAACGTATCTATTTTCCAACATTAGCACATTTATTCCAGTAGGAGGTGAAATAAGAATAAAAATGCATTAAAGGAAAAATGTGAAATATTTCACATTGATCAGATTGAGTCATGAAAAAAAGGAGCGTCTACCAATGACAGTAGGTTCATGCAAAAAAAAAAAAAAATTCCAAGTACAGGATGTTGTTTTTGTGGTAAAGAATTACCATAAAAACCAACCAGTGTCTGTGATGGACTCATCTAGAAACATCTGCTGACTTTACAATATGTTATTTTCTGATTCCTTTCCACTGAAGCGTAGCCAACGTCCACTGTCTCTCCTGCTGTGGGTGTTTGTCTCTCTCCACCCACTGTTTCCCTCACCTCCTCTCTCTCTCTCTCTCTCTCTCTCCTCCCTCCTCCTCCTCCTCTTCCATACCTGGTGATGTTTGATCTTGTGTTTTAATGCTGAACTCCGTGCTGCTGCTGCTGCTGCTCTGACTCACCTGGACACAAGTGTGTGTGTGAGAGTGTGTGTGTACACAGGGAGTTGACGTTGAGAGAGAGACACTGATTAGATAGAGTGTAGAGTGAAGTGATCGGTTCTTGGTTCGACCTCCACGCCTTGGCTTCACTTTGAAACAAAGGTCAAAAACAAGTCAACAGCTTCTGCACCGACCGGGACGGAGCGGAGTGGACACTGTCTCGGTGGGAAATCCTGGAAAAAGACATGGAATCTTGACTGCTGCCTGAACTGTGTTTAACCTGCAAGAATGTCAGCCTTACAGAGGAGCAGGAATTTCAAACCTTCGACACAATCCGTCTATGATGTGTTACAGCTGGTGAGCCCTGCAGTCTCTTCTCTCTGTGTGTATGTGGTGGGATTTTTTTCCTGCAGAAATCGGTGACTACATCATTACATAACTGGGATTAAACAGGTTCTTAGTTCCTGTAGGATCTCATCCTCTGTTATTACATCGGCAAAAAAGGCAAAGACAGAACGCAGAAAAATGCTGTTGATTTCTTCCATGAACTCTGACTCGTTGGTGTAGTTTCATTAGTGTCTGTTGTCGTGCAGTTACGTCTCCGTCTCTGCTCCATCTGTCCCTCAGCCTGGACATCCAGATGCTGTGGATGTCCAGGCTGAGATTTCACTGTAAATGTCAGTCATCGCTCACTTCTGGGTTGTTGAGTGACACGGCCTGAATCAGGGTGTGTGTCGTCTGCACAAGTTTGTTTTTTTTTTTTTCCTGTTTGCACGAAGGCATGAGGAACAATATAAATAAATAGGCAGTGCATGTAGTTTGTTAGGTTAAAATGGTCAACAAACAAACCACCTAGTGGCCAGAGGTGTGAACAACATCAGTTATCACAGTAAATGTCAGTTCAAGTCAACACACAAATATAAAATGATGCTCGTGGATCATAACGTGTTGGTGATTGACCCTCAATGCATGGAATCAGTGGAACTGATTTTTTTTTCTGTAACTCTGCATTAATGTGTGGCTAGTTGACTGTTAGCGCCTCCAGTGGCAGTTTCTGGTAATTCTTTTTGGTCATTTATTTTACTTACATAAAAGTTGATTGTTGATGAAGAGAAGTTTTCATCATCATCGCTGTTTGGTAATTTATTGTTGATGAAGAGTTTTCCTCTTCATCACTGTATAAACCGTAGGACCTGCTGAAGGATTCATTTTGGTTCTAAAAGTGAGGCTGCGTGGGTCTACAGTCTCCTCCCCCCCGTCCTCCCCCCGCCCCCCCACTGCTCTGTTCTTTTCAGCATTAATCTTATTTCTACCAATTAGAGTTGGCAGGTCAGCTCATGTTTTGGTATTTTTGATGCCTGTGTGTTGTTATGGCAGGTTCACGGAGAACCTGCTCCACTGTATGTACTCTCTCACAGGTTTCCTCTGCCCTGTTTCCTCTATGTGTACACTATTTTTTTCATTATATATTTACACAACAAAGCTTCTGTTTATACAGCAGCTCCTCCATAAATATCATTAAAGATACTGTGAATAAATCAGGTGAGAAGCTGAAGAACACTTTCTAACGCTGCAGGTGTTGAATGTTGTTCAGTTCCTAGAAAAATAAATATAAACATACATTACATAAATTTTGGTCACTGTTGAAATCATGATTAACATGAAACACCAATATATTTACATGCATTTATAATTTTAACATGAAGCACCAATATATTTACATGCATTTATAATAATAAGATATTGTTGAAAAAATTTTATTAAAAGTAAAAAAAACAATCAGTGTTCAGATTCAGAATCATGTTGTTCATTTTGTGGACAAATACATTTGTTATATTCTGTATTATATTCAGTCAGTGACTCTGAGTACTTCAGTAGGTGGAGAGACTGACGTGTTTCCGTCTTTCTGTCCTCGTCCCCTCAGAACTCAGACGCGGTCCCTGCCTTTTGCCGCAGCCAGCATGACATGAACCCTCTGGAGTGTCCCATATCCTGCTCCTCGTCCTCGTCTTCGTCCTCCCTCACCCCCAGCCCAGTGTCGGCTTTTCCTCCCACACCTGGAGCAGCGGCCCAGAGGCAGCTCTCCCACGCCGACAAGCTCCGCAAGGTCATCAATGAGCTGGTGGAGACGGAGAAGACCTATGTCAAAGTGAGTATTCAAATACTAGTACCTACAGTATGTGTCACAGGCCGGTCTCCAACAGGCTGCCATCTGCTGGAGGGGGGGTGGTGTTGTAACAAAATACACATGAAAAAAACAGATGCTCCTAAATGTTCAGCTTCCTCCGACCTCCTCTGATCCCAGGCTGATTTTTATTTCATTTTTTTGTCTCTTCCAGGACCTGAGCTGCTTAATAGAATGTTACCTAACACCTCTGCAGAAGGAGAGCTTCCTTACACAGGATGAGGTACCAGATTAAAAAAAAAAAAGAAAAACATTTTTAATGTAGTGTCTGTCAGACTGACGCTCTCTGTCTGTGTCAGCTGGACGTTCTGTTTGGAAACCTCGGGGAGATGGTGGAGTTCCAGGTGGAATTCCTGCGAACGCTCGAAGATGGAATCCGACTGGTGCCGGACCTGGACAGGCTGGAAAGGGTGGAGCAGTTCAAGGTGAGAGGACATGCAGTAGTTTTCTTAGAACTTGTTTCCGCATAACATCTCAAAATGGAAAGTGACTTTGAAAATGTGACGGGACGACTTGTGTGTCTGTCTGTCTGAACAGAAAGTGCTGTTCTCCCTGGGCGGCTCCTTTCTTTACTACGCCGACCGCTTCAAGATCTACAGCGCCTTCTGTGCCAGCCACACCAAGGTTCCAAAGGTCCTGGCTAAAGGTAAAAACAAGCACAACAACCATCCAGCTTCCTGTCTTTGGTGGTTTTTACTCCCTCTATCTAACCTCAGAGTCAGGGACGTAGCTTTAGGCAAAGTAAAGCAGAGGAAACCTGTTGGTCAACTCTGATGCCTCACAGTAAGAAGAGAACAAGCTGGAACTAGACCGAGCGCAGCACAAACCTGGGACTGACATCAGAAACATTTGACAATAAACTCCCGTTTTGGCATTTCCTCCCAGAGTCTCCGCCCTGAGGCCACGTCTTCAGACTTTAGTCTTAAAATATAAAGAGACTGTGATATATAATGAGACATTTATAGAAAGTCATAAAAAGACGAGTCCTCGTGAGTGACTGAGGAGATGAATAAAAAACAACGCTACGTTTACAGGAAAAAACAATGAACTCTGGGTAATTCTCTAAACTTTTGCTTTAATGCTTTAAAGAGTCAATCTGGCAAAAAACGTTACTGACATTATGTACAGTTTGAGCTCAAACAGTTTATTCTTTACTTGAAACAGACAAGAGAAGTGTGTATTTATAAAACAGGGGTCTCAAACTCTGGTCCACTGACCACTTTGGGACCTCAAGGACACGATTGGGGACAAATTATTGAAGTGTTAAATTATTATTATCGACACAATATTTCTTCTCCTGCAGCAAAAACAGACCCAGACTTCAAGGCTTTCCTGGCTGAGAGGAACCCCAGACAGCAGCACTCGTCCACGCTGGAGTCGTATCTGATCAAACCCATCCAGAGGGTCCTGAAGTACCCGCTGCTGCTGAGGGAACTCTACTCCCTGACTGACCCCGACAGCGAGGAGCACTACCATCTGGACGGTAGGTCTGAATGGAATGGTTTTTGGTAATGATTTTTATCATGGACTTTCATTTTCTCCGTGATCTTTAGCAATAAAGGAGCATTTAAAAAAAAAAAAATCACGTGCTCCTATGTCGGCCTCCTTTTCCAAAGTGTGGTGGTCTCTCACAGTCAAATCACAGAATATATTTGCATTAATCCCAGTCCAATAAATATATTAGTAATTTACATTATCATCACAATGTCTTTGTCAGCCCTCATTAAAATACATGCAATAAAAAAGTTAATCAGGGGGCGGGGGGGTCCAGACCCTCGGCTCTGTCGGAGTTGGATTTCATCTCCTCGTCTGCTGAGATTAAAGTCATTTGATTTAATGACGGGGGATTTTTTTTAAAATTTTTTTTAAAATTTCTCATCAGTTGCAATGAAGGCCATGAACAAGGTCGCCAGTCACATTAATGAGATGCAGAAGCTCCACGAGGAATACGGAGCTGTCTTTGACCAACTCATCAACGAACAGACTGCAGACAAAAAGGAGGTAAAAAAAAAAAAAAAAAGTGATGATGATTAGAATAAAAAAATAAATAAAAAAACATCTGAACCTGAACGCCTAATAATAATAAAAAAACATCTGAACCTGAACGCCTCTTTGTTTCCTCCTGCCTCAGGTGGTGGACCTGTCCATGGGAGATCTTCTGCTTCACTCCACCGTGGTCTGGCTCAACCCTCCTGCCTCTTTGGTCAAGAGCAAGAAGGATCCTCATCTGGTCGCCTTTGGTGAGCACACATTTTGTGAACGTTTTTGTGGCCGTGATGTGAGATAAATGTCTGTTTTATCAATGTCTCTGTCGGATTTCTGTTATGTTTCAATTTTTATAAAAATGAGTTGGTTTCACTCCTTAAAAAGCAAAAAACAAAACCAACAGTATGTCCAGGAGTTTTTCTTTAAATGTGAAAACGATGACACTAGGAAAGAGAGAGAAATGACTGTCTCCTCCTCCTCCTCTATCATTTCACTGAGCTCTGACAGGTTGGGCATTAATTTTTCCTCCATACTGTACGTGGAGTCGTAGCTTTCCCTGACAGGGCGTCAGTGAGTCCTAATGGATTTTCACTGCTCCTCACACTGTGACTTTGACCTGCTGATGTTGCAGCTTCGCTCTGGTTTCCCTTTAAAAGCTGTAAAGGACGGACTTTGACCTGCAGCATAAAACAGTCAACGGTGTAAACGGACCAATGAAACGTCCCGTGACCTCCAGTATGTGGTGAATTAATGCAGGATCAACTTTAATTTCCTTCCTTGTCTCTCCTGCAGTGTTTAAAACAGCTGTTGTGTTCGTTTACAAGGACGGTTCCAAGCACAGGAAGAAAATTGTAAGTGCATGAGATATACAGTATCTCTGACTGTTCTCTACTGCCCTCTGCTGTCTCTTTTTGTGTATGGCACCTCTGGCACCCCATCCTAACCCCCCAAATCTCCTGTTTCCAGGGTAGCTCTCACCGAGCGTCAGTGAGTGATGACCGGGACCCTTTCCGTTTCAGGCACATGATCGCAACAGACTCCCTGCAAGTCCATGCTCTTGCGAGTAAGTCTCATTCTGTGAAGGTGTAATTTATAAATGTTTTTTAGCAGGTGTGCTCTTGCGAGTAAGTCTCATTCCTGATTAATGTGAAGCTGTAATTTATAAATGTTTTTTAGCAGGTCTTGCTATGGATATTTATTAAACGGGTCTCATTTGGTGCCATAAATGTTATTTTTAAATTTTTTCAAAAGCTTTCATTTCACAAATTATTTTTATTTCGCCGTCTCTCAGATGCTGAGGGAACGCCCGTGTGTGAGATCATTCACAACAAGTCTGAATCTGAAGGGCGACCGGAGAGAACATTCCAATTGTGTTGCAGGTCAGATTTTTTTTCTTTCTTAAAAACACACACTTTAAGTTGACTACAACAAAACAATAACCATGTTTTTGTTTTCTTTCATTAAATCCACAGTTCCCCTGACAGTAAGAAGGACTTCCTGAAGGCAGTTCACTCCATCCTCAGAGAAAAACAACGCCGGCAGCTCCTGAAGACCGAGTCTCTGCCGCCAAACCAGCAGTACGTCCCATTTGGGGGCAAACGCCTGTGTGCCCTAAAAGGAGCGCGACCCGCCATGAACAGAGCAGGTGACCTCCTTTCTACGGGACTGTAGAATTTATGTAATTTCTATGATATGTTTATTTAAATGAGGGGAAAATCCAACAATCGTTGGACAGAGTAAAAGTTTCTTTACAACTTTAACTTGCATGCTAACAGCAAAGCAACCTGATATTTATGGGTCACATTATCATGAAAATGCAGGCGTAAAACATTTTTTTCCCTTAGCCTCAGCGCCATCCAGAACGCTAGCTCGCCGAAAGCTGGTGAGGAACCGCTTCACCATCGACACCAACCTGATTTTCCACGGAGGCAACAACAACAACAGCCACAGTCCCGACGACTCCCACCAACCTCCCTGTCCACCGCTGTTCCAACCTGCCGGCCTTGAGTCGCACAAACCTCAGGAGGAGGACACAGAGCGCTGGGTGGAGGAGCAGTTTGACCTGGGCTCCTACGAAGGCCAGGCGGAGGTCATCGACGTGGGGCAGATGAAAGAGACGGACATTTTAAGCGACGACGACGAGTACTGCAAGTCTGTGCGTGCGGCGTCAGCAGAACCAGCAGAGCTGCAGGGGAAGATGGAAGGACTCGTGCTGCAGGACGGAAAGACACGGAGCCACAACGTCAACGGACGATTAGAACCTGGATTCGGGATCGTAGAGGATAATCGAATAAATCACAGCGACGTTTCCGGTTCCTTCTCCTCCTGCGGCGTCTCCTCCGCTCTTAAACTTGCTTCTTTGAAGCAGTTTGCGGTGGAGGAGGCAGTGAGCGACGACATCTGGGTGCGGAGGGAAGACTTTACCAACGGCTGCAAAAGTGACATATTCTGAAATAATTCGTGTACAATTTTAAAAAAAGAAGACATTTTTTTACACTTTCTACAAATTCTAGAAGCTACAAGAAAAGGAGGTGGAGTGGAACCGAGCTTTAAAACTACACACGTTGAAGGAGAACTTTGTAAAAGAACCTATTGAACCTCAGTCAGTCCTGCATGTGTGGCTACACCAACCCTCCTCTTCCCACCACTCCTGGGTCTCCTGTATTTAACAGATTCTAAAGTACCGCCATCTAGAGGGAGTACAGTTTGTTGCAGTTTGGGTTGCTCGGTAGCTGCAGTTGTAACTTTGAAGAAACCTGAAGAGTCCAGAACTTTTACTTTTGTTGCCTCGCTGGCCTGTTTTCCTTTGACCAGAACAAACTTTTGTGTAGGATTGGTTCCACTAACTCGGTCCAGAACGATGAAAAGGATCTGCAGGTTCTCCAGGATGAACTCATTTTGATCATGTGTCACTCAGCAGAGTTTTCACGTCGTAGCCTGTGGAGCTTCTTTAGCCTTGTGTCACACAAACCAAACCAGTTGAGGACAAGTGCCAAAGTGTGTGGTT